GCGCCCGCCTCTGCGTGGCCTGGCATGCACCAGCAGCCGGACGGGCGTGCTCGGCACCATGGTCCGGGGCGCCACAGCACCGCGACCAGGTCTTTTCGGCGGCGTCGAACGCGACGGCGGGGCAGGGAGCACGGGGCGCCGTCGAGGCCGCGCATGAGGAGCACGGGGGCGCAGTCGAGGCCGTGCACGTGGAACACGGGCGCGCCGAGCTCGAGCGGCGTCTCTGGCGGCGGCGAAGATGACCGGCACCCACGACCTGCTCGCGGCGTGGGCGTGCTGTTGGCGAACGGCACGGCGTGGGCGTGGCCGGAGCGACGCGGACGTGGCCTGAGCAGCGCGTGAGTGGACTGGGCGGCGCTCGGGTGGGGTGACGACTGGAAAAATCCTCACCCCCAAAGCAAAAATTTGGCTGGGGCCTCCCCAGGAGGGCAGAAAAACGCCTCCTGGGGGGCACAACGGCTGGAGATGCCCTAATAATTTACGGTGCAGGCTGCGGCGATCAATCTCGATCATCCCACCCAATGTCAGCCGTCAGATGGACCCTGCCGCCCTGCGCTGCCCAGCCTGCGGCGAGTTCCATCGCTTCGTCCTGCATGCTTCCGCGTCAATTTCAGAGCCACTGCAACAGGAGAATTTTGTTCAAAGCAGGTTAATCTTTTTTATTTTCCTTATACAAGAGGACGGTCATCTAATTTCTTAGTGCTAAGTACGTATGTGGATCACAAACATAAGGTAGACCAAACAATTCACGTTAAAAAATATCAAGAAAGACCGAGCACAGTGTATACGGGTACATACCAAGGTTTTGGTTACCGAATGAGGCAATTTTATCGAGGGGGACTGGTAAACGTGGTTACCACGGTTACCGGGAAATACAGAGAAATACCGAGAATATTTTGAACGAATTTTATAGTTGAATTTTGAATTCAAATAAATAAATGAACGAACATTCGAACCAGAGACCTGTCAAAATAGAAACTAGGTTGCTACGAACACGTGAGAATCAACTCTCATGGCATTAATTAGATCCTACGCACTTTACTACAAATAGAGTGTTTAAATTAAAAAATTCAAAAAAATAGTATTTTTTTTTGCTCGGTATGAGAATTTATCTAGGGGTATGGAAATATGCGGTGACCATGGGAAATCTTGAAATTTCTACTGGTAACCAAAACATTGATACATACACCTCGAGTGCTCGCACGCACACATGCAACAGAAGCCCGGAGATGCCTCGCTATCAACGAAAACTTAGCCTCATCCTGAAAGAATATTCAGCCTATAAGACAAATGGAGGTCGAGCCGGCGCACGCTGGAATTTGCTGCCGCCGGTCCGAATTGCTGCCAGCTCGACCTCCACTGACGAGGCGAGACCGTCCGCGGGCAGGGCGGAGCAGGACACCGGCGGCCCGAATTAGGGCGGGCGGTGGGGCCACCGGGGAGCTCGCGCGCACGGCGGCGGGCGGTGCCGGGCTCAATCAAGGATGGGCAGGTGCGGCAGAGAGCGCGCGGTCGGGGCAGGGGGCGCCGGGGCGAGGCACGCCCTGGCCGGAGACGGGCTCTGCCGGGACGGAAAAAAAAGGAGGGGCTACAGTGGGATGCACTTGGCTATTTAGCACCGTAAAAACGGTTTACAGTGCCACTTATACGCGTTTCTAAGGGTCAACTTTTAAGGGGTCTGCTAGAGATGCTCTTAGCATACAATGTTGGCTAAAAAGGGAAACAAAGGGATATCTAAGGACCAAAGTTTTAAAAACCCACATGTAGTTAGAAGATCATTGATGAAAACAGATTAAAAAGGCAGACAAATATGAGATATATGCTGAATTGTCTTTTAGCACAATGAAAGTTTAATCATAAGACTTCTATAACAAATATTTATAGGAAAAAATTGAGGATGAAGAAAATGGGAATTAAATACGTAAATAAATGTTATTGAAACGCCACCAAAATGGGATTAATTAAAACAAATTGAACAAAATTTGTGGTCGCTTTACCAAATTACATGGTTTGCTAGAGTATTTGTGACAGCATTGCATTTCTTGATCTTTAAATGTTGACTAACTTCACTAGAATATTTATATTTTCCCTCAGTTTCTTGCCTTTTGGATTGTTTTCATTTTCCTATTCATTTTGTTTGGTAGTTTTGCATGGTGATCAGGTTGCTGGGTGTGAAAGTTATCGTCAAAACTGACTTTAGTAGACCGAAAATCCTACACGCATGAACGATTACGGAGCTTTACTTAATCTTTCCAACTAACTAATCCCCCCCCCCCGATTTTCAGTGGGGTGGGCCCCGCCTCATCCCTAACTTCCAATCCTAAGAGCATCTCCAGCCGTTCGGCCCCCCAGGGCACCGAAAAAGAGTGGCCTGGGGGCGAACTGACGCTAGATTGGCCCCTGGGGTTCGGTTCGCTCCCCGTCATCGTCCCACGGTCGCCGCGGGTTTGGTGAAGTCCGTTTCAAATTTTTGCAAACTCGGCGATTTTTGCAGGAACTCGGCCATACTTCATTGAAATTTGTACAAAAATGTAAAAACATGCAAGAAATACGCCTAACTTAAAAAACAAACTAAAAGCCTAGCCGCTGCCGTTGCCGCCGCCGTCGTCTACATGCCAAGAAGCCTGTAGAATGGTGTAGTCGCCGCAGTCGTCGTAGCGCGCCTCGCCTGCAACGTCCCAGCTACAGCTGGCCGGGGTCGCCGACACATGGGGGGCGCTTGACGGCCCGGCCTCGCCCTCCTTGTCGCTGTCGATGACGATAACGCCGCCCTCCTCGGCGCGGCGACGGGCCTGGTGCTCCAGGTACGCCCGGCGCTGGCGGCGCACCTTCTCGCGGATGTAGTCCTCCTTCGCCCATTTGAGGGC